GAAGTATGAGAGGAATATTTCAATTCCAAATCAATATTGGTCAGGCCTCTTACCAACTTGTTGATATCCTAATTGCATACACACAACATTACCATTCAGTTCACCCCAACCATCATCACACACAGTGCCCCAGGCATTGTTAACACATATTTCAACTCTTCCTTGATTCAATGTTGCACCATCTCTCAGTCTTACATCACCATTTGTACAGTTGGAGTACATAGTCTGTGAGCCTAATTATGAAAAAATACACTAACTCACAGTTGAGTTTTATATTACAAATTACTGTTAAAAACATCTGATTTCAAATTTAAAAGTGGCCTAAATCAGAGGCATTGCAAATGTATCGTTGGAAATATAGCTGCCCAAATATTGGAATGAAAACTTTACATGATTACTACAATATACTAAACTACTAGTTAAAATACTGTTTACCTTGGCAAATGACACCAGCATCATTCTGAGAGCAACTAGAATATGATGAACCCGGGGGTAGCAAATGTACAGGACAATCAAATAATTCTCTTTCACTTCCAGTGCAGTTGACACCATAGACTCTTGTGGGATAAGAGTCTGATATAATACTACCATAAGCTGCCATTGCTCCTGTATAAAAATTATTATACAATAGCAAAATGCTTGTTTGTGAGACTACAGCACAAACCATATGCTGAATGGCCAAATTGATGACAGATAACTGCTGCATCATTATCATCCCAATTCTCATCACAGACAGTAACCCAAGTTCCATTAACACACACTTCAACACGTCCAATATGAGTATTGTAAGTGCCTCTTATCCGAACCCTACCATCAGTGCATGTACCTAAAAACCAAAAGAATCATGATAGCTTTAAATAGAAGTTCTGATTTACCTATACATTGTGCCCCTGCTATTTCATAGTTTTGACAGCTTAATAGATAGTTAGAAGATGATTTGGGACAGTGTAATAGAGTCTTTTCAATACCAGAACAATAAAAAAGTCCATAGACAAAAGGGCTATGCACAACATATCTATTACTGTAGTAAGCACTAGATCCTAAAGAGATAGTAATGCACCACTGCCACCACTGATAGAAATCAATCTTACCATAAGGTTGCAGTCCTAGTTGACGACAAACAACATTACTATCAGCAGTGCCCCATGAATCATCACAGACTGACCCCCAAGTGTTCTTATAGCATATCTGTACATTCCCTTCATTACTTGTGCTCCCTCCAATTAATCTCACATCACCATCGGTGCAGTTGCTATACTGGGTAGTATTTGCTATGATAAAAAAAAACCATAATAATAGTAGCAAAAGCAATTTAAATAAAGCTTACACATGCAAAAGACTGAGGCATCATTGCTTTGGCCACAATATCTTCCATTGTAAGTAGTAGTAAATTGACATTCCCACAATGAGGTTTCATTACCAGTACAGCTTAGGTTGTATATACCCATTGGCCACTCATAGTTGATGAAGGCATTTGATACTGCAATAGCACCTGTGTGAATGCATTAAGAATAAAACACATTCAGACAATTATTTTAATCCTACCATAATGAGAATATCCTAATTGAGAACATATCACAGCAGCTTCTTTTGCTGTCCAGCTATGAGAACAGATAGTAACCCATGAACCATTGTAGCAAACTTCTACTCT